AAATGTACAGTTCAATGTGAGAACTGACTTGTGGTCCTTATTTAGGACTGCTTCTGAATAAATAAGGGAGAAACAGGAATTTACATGCGAGATACCATATGGCTTCTGCTGGGACCTTTTATTAGCAGCATTTAATTAGCATAGTGCCTGGTACATAGTAAGTGCTCTATAAATATTTGCTGAATGAATGAATAATTAATCAATGATAACATAAGTTTACAATTAGCAAGTCATCAAGAAGCCTACATGAAGAATTTTTTCACAAAATTTTGGTGATGGGTACAACCTATTCTCTAACACTCTGGAGGATGTTAGTAAGGAGAGCTTTCCTACCAGGTGGCCTTGGATTCCAAGTACAGGCTCTCCCATGTCTGAGCTGTGTGACAGTGGGTAAGTCACTAAACCTCTCTGAGCATCAATTTCCTAATCTATACAATAGAGCTAATAATATTTGTGTTATGGCTTGATTTTGAAGATTTTGCAATAATGTTTACAAAGATCTTGACACACACATACACTGTACTCAATAGATGGTAACTATTATAATGAGAGCGAATACTGATTCTCGTCAGCAAGTTAATCCTTTTGTCCCAGAAAAAGAAAGGCTCTGCCAACACTGGTCAAGGTCAGGGCTACCATCGGCCAAGGTAGGGAACATTCTCATTTTCACTTTCAAAGTCAAGAGAATGGCACAAATCTCAAGTAGAAAGGAACCAGCAGCACATGTTTTTAAATATTCATAAGGGCTGGAAATGTCTTACTCCTTTCGTTTTTTTTCAGCCATCTGCTTTTGTTTCTTTTCTTTTCATTCTTATGCCACAGCTGCAAATGAAAACAACCATACAATAACTCAAGTTAAATAAAAAAAAAATCAAAATAAAAACAATCTGAGGGGTAAAAAGAGAAGACAAATTATAAAGTTTTTCCCTGAGCTCACAGGCTACAGAAGGAAGAATAATGTCTGATGTGAATGAAACCTTCTGGAAACCAAATACATGTCCCGTGTCTATAACAACCATGATAAGAGCAACCACCATTTACTAAATGGCTCCTATGTGCTACCCAGCCACCAATATCTCCAACTCCTAAAGCCACCCTTCAGAATAGGTAAATTGAGCCCATTTTACAGAAAAAGTAACTGCATATCAGAAAGGTAAAATAAGATTTTTAAAAGGTTACACAGCCAATAAGAGATGGAACTGAAATTTGAACCCAGGTCTGTCTGAAACCAAAGGCTAGGAACTTTCTCTACCACCCTCTTCAAACATGGGAAGGGACCTGAAAAAATTAAGTTGGGAAATATTTAGGGCAGACCATTTGTACTAAGCTGATTTATTCAGATAATTAAAATCTGTGAGTATAGCTCTAATTAAAGTTAACTCAGATAATTGGTTGTTGTATTTGTGAATGTGCAATTAGAGTCTTGCACATAATTGCGGGGTTTTCAGCAACATACTTTCCATTTATTCACCGCATCCCAGAGCTTTGCTCTACTGGCCTCTGTTCTACCGAAGGCTGCATTATAGCTCTTGGGGTCACTGAGCCCGAGGACCATGACCTGTGATACCAACAGCGGGGTCTGGGCCCAGCCCCTTTACCAGGTCTTTGTGCAGAAGTCAGCGAACACCTCATCTTCAAGCACAATGTAAAAAGCTCTCAAGCCTACGCCGCACTGTTGTCCTGAAAACTCCTAGCAGCATGTACCTGAAGAAAAACTGGCAGCAGTGGTCCTCATGTGTTAATTACACTTGTGAAGTCTATTATGCATAGAAAGGGCACCTGCTGGCAGCGAAAATGACTAGAATCTACCCTTCCTGTGCGGTGAGTAAATTGAGAGTTCATTTCTACAGGAGATAATAGTTTGCAGATTCCATTTCGTGTATCCCCTGCATGGGGATGTACTTAACATTTAAATCATCTGCAGAGGAACAAACCTCCTTCAAATTTACATGTTTCAGGCTCCTAGCACTTTACTTAAAATGCTAGTTATCCCTGCTGGCTCTTACCACCAAGGATCAAACTCAACGTGGGGAAAGGCACCGAGCACAATAGAAGAAAGTTATTAGCACGGACTCAAATTTCATGATATTTGTAGGTTATGACCAAAGCAGTGGTAGCAGGCGGAAGGTGACCAGATCAAGCGTTGAATGGGGGATCTGTGTTTTTCTTTTGGGGGTCTTTGATTTCATCATTCTTACATCTTGCAGTTAATAAACAGATACCCATCCCCACCGGCCTATAATCATCCTTGGGTCAAATGTCAGAAAGTTCTTTCGTGAAAACAAGAGACCAGGAGAGAAATGTTATCATACAAACAGAAACTTGCAAGGTGGAGCCTAATTACAAAACTCACTCCGGCTCAGACAAACACAAGCCTTGACTTTGATGTTATGGGAGTGGAAGTCTGGGGTGACGGGGCTCGGCGGCTGTCCTGAAGTCTGCCCTTCTAAGTTAGGCTTGCCAGGATCACTGCTCTGGGTCAGGCTGGTGACACAGCTCCTGACAGTGCTGGGGTTGGACAGGAAGTTGAAAAGGGTGTCTTGGATCAGCTTCCACAGGAAAGAGTAAAACAGCTAATAAATCCTCTAAGCAAACAAGAAAGGAGGGCTGGGACCCGAGATGGCAGCTGGAAAGAACGACAGGCTAGAAAACACTGATTTTTGTTTTTTAAGTAAAACTTTGCAATTATAAAAACCGTATTCTTGTTTACTGTAGAAATATCTGAAAATATGGAAAAGAAAAGAAAAGTCATGCAGAATTCCATGTGCTCCTCCCCATCACAAACTACTCAACATTTTGGTATATTTCCTTCTAGGTTTCTGCCCGTGTGTGTTTGTTTTTATAAAAATGGAATCATACAGTACACAACATCTGTAATGGGGAAAGTTACTAAACCTCTGGGCCTTGGTTTACCCATCTGTGAAATGGAGCTAAAAGCATCTGCCTTATAGGGTTGCTGGAAGAATTAAATGAGATCCCAGATGTGAAGGAGATGGTCACCAATGGCAGTTACTGTGACACTGATGTTACTGATGAAGTAAATACTTCTCTCGCCATGGTTCTGGGACTAAGCTGCTGATTTTAAATCAGCTAACAATTCAGCAACCCAAACTTTCCAAATAAGAAGCTAAAGCTGCACTACGTGGGAGGCAGAGGGGCTGCAGGGCCTCTCGCAGCTCCAGCAGTCCCTGCACACAGGAGCCCCTGCTGTTCCTACCTGGAGCACGGCACCCAGACACACAGGTGAGTCTCCTCCAGGGAGAGGCCCAAGGTTTCCCTGTAGAGCACATGTCTGGAGGAGGCGTGGAGGGGGTTATGTGTCTCTGTGTGGGGGACCCTGAGACAAGTGTCTGTGGGGAAGGGACCTGTGTCCGTGTGTGTGCCATGTGCCTCTATGGGCCTGTTATACATTGGGGGCTGGGGGTAGGGGGACTGGGTGTCACTGTGTGAGTCTGTCTTAGGGACACACGTCCCTTTCCTTCCTTTTCTGTCTATTCCTCTCACTATCTCCCCTCTGCCTTTCTTGGGTATGTGTTTTGTTCTTTCTTCTCCACTCACTCCTCTGGCCCCCTTCTTTCTCTCAATGTCTGCTTCTGCCCAGCCCCCCAATCTTCCATTCAAACGACAGCAAACACTACAGGATAGCAAACATGAGCCTTTCGTTTGAGATACAAGGCCGTGGGGAAAATCCAGACAGTTGGTTCAGAAGCTCCAAAGGAGCAGCAAGCCCAAGCAGAGGACTAGCCCTGTCATCTCATGAGAAGCGGGTAGAAAGAAAGATACGCAGTAGAGAAATAAGCCGAGTGCTAGTCACTAGAGAGGGTCGCTGAGTGTTACCTGACCACCCAGAGCTTTTTGTACCCATGGCCTCTCAGGATGAGGGTGAGCCCAACACTTCAAATGAGAAGTACTGTGGGGACCTTTAAGCTCCCAGGACACCTGGACCACCTCAATGAAGCTTTTCAGTGGCAGCACTGCAAAACGGGCTGCAGAACCCAGCAAAAATGATGACTGCCCGGGGCTCGATCACCGTGAACCGATGGTAGATGTTCTGAATCATCTCCTCCTAAGTGACAGAATGGTAACCCCTCAAGAGGGTCCCCATCTCCGGAAGCTCTCAGTTCCTGGAAGACACTGACTTTTCCCACATATGTGTAGTGCTCCCTGATCAACTTTTGCTGACTTGAGCTGTCTGGAGACCATGTCTTTAAATATGTTCCCCAGGAGAAAGCAATGGTTCGGAAGGAAAATGAATCCAAACCAATCACAGACAGTCTTTTTGGTAACGTACTGAAGACAGATAGTGATGATGACAGAGCTGCTACAGAAACGTTCACTGAGCACCTACCAGGAGCCAGCTGTGCTACACGGGGCCCTTTCACTGCTGCACTGTTTCATCTCTGTTTCATTATGTATAGAACAACTTTATTTTGCACACGAGGAAACAAAATCTTAAGCCCAGTGATATGTCCAAGGTGGTGGGGCAGTTAACTGGAGAGCCAGCCCGCCTGCCTGCTCTCCTGCCTTCCACTAAACACAGCTCACTGAACAGTGAAACGCCCATCAAGAGCCCGCAGCGGGTTTTGACGTCAGGCTCCTGCTCCCAAACCACCGCTGAGAGGTCTTACAAAACGTGCCAGAGGGCATGGCTGAAACAAGAAGACCTAGGGGACCTCAACTGTTCTAGTCACCAGTTTCCAACTTGTCTTTGGGGAAAAAAGAAAAATCACTCAACTCCTTGGTTGTTGTTTTGGTTTCCCCAAACTGAGAAACGGGAAAAGTATTACCGACTCAAGCTCTTAAGAATGCCATGACCTATTTGAAAGGTGTATGGAAACAATGGGGCCATGCAGTCTAAAACGTGGTCTAAAATTCATGTCATTTTGGTTAGTTAGTATTTTTAATTTAGAGTCGCCAACTGCATTGCAAGTTACAGACCTAACAGTGCTTGTCAGTTCTGCAGCAGGGAAAGTGCAGGGCAGCGTAAGCGGCGGCCTTACCAGCAGTAGTCCAACAGATGTGGGGGCAGGACAGGGATGTACACATGCTGCCAAAACATGGGGTACAGCATGGCGGCGGAGCCATGGATGCAGGCGGTCAACTGCAAGAGAAGCACATCAGAGACTCAGAGCTACAACTCAATGTGAGGACACACTGTCATATTTGCGTTCAGCAATAAATTTGAGCACATACTTCATAACATATTTAAAATACGTTAACTCAATCACTCTAATTCCAATTTAATAAGAGTTTGCTTTTCAGAAACAAATCTATTTTATTTCCTGATTACGGAACTAATGCACAATGACAGTAGAAAATTTAGAAAATGGGAAAAGGGATAAAAGAAAATAAAAGTCTTCACCATCTGAAAATAATTTAACATTTTGGGGTATTATATACATATGCTCTTACATTTCCTTTTCTAATAAAATTAGGATTACTGTAACTACAGTGTTCATTTGCTCTTTTTTTTTAAGTTAACATTATTTGCTGGCATTTTCCCACATCTTTAAATATGCCTAGAAAACATATCTTTTAATGACACTCAATGAATTTCCCATGCTATATTTAACCACTCTTCTACCATTAAATTATATAATCAGATCAAGTCAATAATTTTTATATCTGGCTCCTAGATGTAGAAATCAGAGACAAAGGTTATAAATATTTTGAAGCACTTAATATAATAATGTAAACATAGTAAATATATTAATATAATAAACAGATGAAGGATGGGGGCTCTTTTATACTTCCCTGGCCACATTCTAGAATGTTTTCCCAGCACCTCACCAACACTAAGAATTGTAGTCAAGGCAGTAGCTTTAAAATTGTAATCTCTCTGGATTTTATTTTTATTCCACTGATTATGACTGAAACATCTTTGTCACATGTTTCTTGATTATATTTCTTAGGTAAACGGTCCATTCCTATTCTTAGGCCACTTTTTCTAGCAAGTATTAAATAGTATTTTTTTAATTGATTTACAAGCAAATACTAGATATGCAAAGGACACTAATCCTTTGCAATGTTTTGGAAAATACTTTATCCTTATTTAATGTTCTTCGATTTTTTTAGGTTTCTTTGAATTTTTTAGGTTTCTTTGAAGAGAAGGTTTGAATAATTACACAGACAAAATCTCTTCCTTCATGATGGTTTCCACTGCTTTTATACCAAGAAAGTCCTCCAAATTTTTCTCTAGCATTTAACTCTTTAATCCATCTGGAATTAATTTAGGTTTAAGGACTGAGGTGAGAATTTCTTTTTTCCACATACTTAATCAATTGCCTCAGCACTGTTTACTGACTAATCCTTCCTTTCCCTATTCTTTTGACATGCCCCGACTTCACAGTCCTTTTTTTTAAGAGCTAGACACATCACACAATCAGTACTTGACATAATTAAAATTGTAGGAAACAAAGATATAACGGAATAAAATTGCTACAAAATTCAGTATAGCGATAGAAGGGAGCAAAACAGCATCTTTGGAGATACGGCTACGAGGTGACAAAAGCCAGCCACACATGTTTCTTTCTGCCTTGTTGCTTTGGTTTCTGGGAAGCTGTTCCCAGGAGGACCTGGCTTCTTTTGGAAGCTGTTAACTGGCCTTTGCTGACAGAAGGACATTTACGTGGCGAAAGAGTGACGTGCCAAGGCCCAGTTAAAAGAATCCCAGAGGTTCGTGTAACACGAACAGCTTTAAATTGGATATTCTGCTGATGTTTCACAGTTGTGAGAGCTGTGTATGCAATCCAGGCTGCTCCTCCCCCCTCCCCCCGCCCCCTTCCCTTCCAGACCCTGTTCTTTAAATCAGGTACATGTCATGAACAGGAGCCCATCCGGCAAGCTCTCCAGAGCTCTTCCCAGCGACTCCACCAAGGCTGGCTGGTAGGTTTAATCCATCCCTCTTAGTGCATTTGGGTAGGTACCCACATAAAAGAGGCTGTCTGTTATGTTATTTGTGACTAACCTCTTCAGGGTTAGAAGAGATGAAAAATCTTTGCTTGGTGTCGAACGAGTGTAAATGAGCCAACGTTCCTCCACCTCCACCCTGAAGTTAGGCTGGAGGGCGACACTGGCCTTGGGCCCCAGATCTTTCTGCCCACCCTTTAACTAGCTGCCAAACTACTCTTACTGCTGGGCAGGTCCAGTCATGTGATACCCTACCGGGAAGTCTTTGGGGGCACATCTGGATCAGGCATGCCCCCACCAGCTCCCAGGCCCCCTGGAGGGCAGCATCCCCAGCTACAGTGTCCACTGCCTTCTCCCAGTTTATCCCTGGAACAAATCACTGGCAGGCTGAGGAGTCTTCCTTCCTCTTTCCACCGGTCCCCTAAACTGGACCGGTTTTGCACCCCTAGCAAACCCCTCCTCCCTCCGGTCTCTGAGCAAGGGCTTCCCTCCTTGCATAGCTCTCCTGGGCATACACCCCCATTATTAATGGGGCTGTAACTGCCTACATGTTTGTCCTCTCACTGTAAAGGACAGACAGACCTGTCTCTCTTCCTCTCCATGGTCTTGGTGGTAGTGCATATACAGGGGTGCCAAAAAAAGTATACACATTTTAAGAAAGGAAAAAACTATTAAAATTGTAATACTCAATATACGGGTATACCGAAAACAAAAGGAAAATACAAGTCACGTTTGACTTCTGCAATTACAAGAGATGCTCAAAGTGGTAACCATCAGAGTCCAGACACTTCTGATTACAGCGAACTACTGCTTGGGCAACGTTGACCAAAGTGTCCACTTGTATACATTTTTTTGGCACCCCTGGTATATAAGTGCTAGCTAGCTCAGTGTTTCTTAAGTCAAAACCAAATTCTATTTAGAATATAAAGATAGTTAGGAGCTTGGCTTTTAACAGTATTGGACCAATATTTTCATGAGTCTTACAGAATGGGGTATCTGACTCAAATTCCAAAACAATAACAGCAAGCTTAGACACACAAATATGCCACTTTTTGGAAAATCAAGTCCATGGAGTCATTCATCCATTCATTCAATAATATGCCTACTTTATAACTCTATAACACTCCAAATAAATACAAGCACTTTAAAATCTGTAAGATGCCATATAAATGTAAGGTATCATCGTCACATGATTTCATTCTGTAATTCTCTTGAAAAAGTCATTCAATAGAATGTTCCTGTTTGAGACAGAACTTGATTACCTGCCTCTTTTTAGCTTAAATTGGTTTGAGTCCAAATCCTATTTCAAGTGATAAAGTGGCAGAGATCTTATCTTCAGACAATGTTCTTTTCATGTTTCCTTAACCTCAGGGAAAAAAAAAAATCTACCAAGCTGAATGCCAAGATTTTAATATTTTGTAGCCCTCATAAAAATCAAATGTCTAAGGATCATCTTTTTCATTAGGGGTTTTCTAATGGCCAAGGCTCTGAAATTGCAGTAAAATGCATTCACCCATTTGATTAGGAAAACAAACATAAAAGGAATTGTTTGGTTCTTTTACCAAATACTAAATGGCACAAACAACATGCATCGTTACTTAGGAAGAGCGGCTGGGTCAACCCCAAGAAAAGTGTTACAATTTATCTATGCTTAATCAGAAATAACATTATGTCCGGTAAATTATCATTAGCCACTTATTTTAAAAATAACTCTAACACCAAACCCATTTAAAAAAATTTACTAAAGGCCTAAGCTCAATTCTTACAGAACACAAAATTTAAAAGTAATGAAAGTATACAGTTTGGATTGTAGTCAACAAAGGGGGTATTGTGAATATTTAATTGAAGTGCAAGTTGGGGAAAATGATCCTATCAAAATCTCACGCAGTGGGAGAATAGAAAGATAGTATGTGTAAAATTTGCCCAAAGTCATTAGTCACAATGAATATTCATCAGAAGCCAATTATCAATCCCATTTAATGACACCCCAAAAGATTTTGCCCTGAAGCAGCTGAATAGTCTAAGACTCCAGACAAAACTAGACAAATTACACAGCCAACAGCCAGTCTAGTCAGGACACAGATTGTAAAGTAAACCACTGGTGGGTTTTTGGACGCACTTTTAGCAAATTCTGTCCTCAATTAAAGGTGCACAAGGTCACTTCTATCTTGGAGCTTTCTGTATGGCTTCATTAGTTTTCTCTGAGGCAAAGGGACAGAAAGGGTGAAGGTGGTGGGGGTAGGAAATGAATGAGGAGTGATCAATGACCGAGTTAAAAAAAAATCACAAAATCACAAAGACACATTATTATTATTTTTAGTTTAAGGTATTTTTCAGAGATAATGCCCAGATTCTCACAATCTTAGGTCCCAAAGCCTCCGGTGAGTCCTAATGGTAGCTCTATAATTGAACATGGATTAAAAGTAAGAATACCCCTCAAAAAAAAAGAAAAAAAAAAGAATCCCAACAGTATATGTGCCAGGCACCATGTTGGGGGTTTAGAATCTTGTGAAGTATTATTTTATAGGTCTCTCTCTCTCTCTCTCTCTCTGTGTGTGTGTGTGTGTGTGTGTGTGTGTGTGTGTGTGTGTGTGTGTTTACATACCTACACACATACACACTCATCACCACACTTCATACATAAGGAAAGAGTCTCAGAGGTGGAGTAACTTGCCCAAGGCCACACAACTAGTGACAGAGCTGGGACTCACATCAGGGCTGTCCGACTGCACTGACCATTGTTTCCGTAACACATACATTAACCAGAAACATTCTGAGGGCCTGCCCTGTGCCCATACGCTGTGCTGAGGGCTCTGAGCTAAAGTAGACACCGTCGTTGTCCACACAGCCAAACTACACAGAATGCACTTGCCTTGCTGTTAGGTGAATAAATATCTAAACCAACATAGCAGTGAACAGAAAATAATCATTTTTAAGACAAACGCAGGCCTGACAATTTCCTGGGGGTGAGTGACATTTAACTAAGGTGCTGCAGTGTCTTTAATCCACAGGGAATTCTAGACAGTGAAGCAATGATGGTCAAGGGGAAGGGTTTATACCCCACCTTGGCACCCCTATTTGAAAGTCTGAGTTTCCGTCATGTTCCCTTTCACATGCTTGCATGGGGTTCCTACCAATTCCCTTTCTGATCTGAACACGTCACCTCCCCTGCTGGGTCTCAGTCTCCCCTGT